TGCTGCAGCAACAGCAGCAGCAGCAGCAGCAGCAGCAGCAAGAGCGGGTTTGTGTTTACTTGCTGCAGACACAGTCGAGGGCTTCGGAGGCCTTTACAGCAATTAGCGACGCAGAAAGCCCTTCAGTAGCTCAACATGACGATCAAGAGGTCTGCTGCTGCTGCTGCTGCTGCTGCTGCAGTCTGTTGCTCTCCTTGGTGCTGCTGCTGCAGTTGGTGCCGTTGCTGTTCTTGTTTGTGCTGCTGCAGTAATGCTGCTGCTGCAGCTTTGCTGGCGCTGCTGCAGCTGCGGCAGTTGCTGCTGTTCCTGTTGCTGCTGTTGCTGCTGCCTCATTCTGTCGCTTTTGCTTCTGCTGCTTCCGGCGCTGCTGGTGCTGCTGCTGCTGCAGGACGCAGCGTTTGCTGCTGAGATAAGCGCAATGGCGCTGGAGGCGCTGCAGCAGCCGCAGCAGCAGCAGCACAAAATTTTGGAAATGAAAGCTTACAGATTGGCCAGCAACAAAACAGATGGAGATGTTGCTGAAATTCTTTTCTTCACTTTGCTGCAGCAGCTAATGCTCACCGCCCCCAGAAGCAAAGAAGTAAACCCTAAACCCTAAACCCTAAACCCTAGCAGGCTCAGGGAGTGTTTTCTTTTTCTTGACTGCGGACTTGCTGCTGTTCAGCTGCAGCTACACCGCGCAGCTCGAAATGCTCGTCTGCTGCTGCTGCTGCTGCTGCTGCTGCTGCAGGGCTGGCAGCACTTTGTGGCGTCGAGGCGTTGCGCGACGCTGCTGTCTCCGTTCGTTGCTGCTGAGGACTCGCTGTCTTTGCTGCTGCTGTGGGGCCAGCTGCTGCGCTGCTGCAGCAGCAGCGAAATAGTGTTTACAGACTTAGAAGGAAAAGAGACAAAAGCCCCAAACCCTTTCGAGGGCCCCACAGGCTTCTGCCGTGCTGCTGAGCTGCTGCATGCTGCTGATCTTTTCGACGTTGATTCTTCTCTCCCGGCCTGGGTTGCTGCTGCTGCTGCTGCTGCTGCTGCTGCAGCAGGCGGGGCTTCGGACGGGGGGGCGCCAGCAGCAGCCACGAACGGCACGCAA